TTTTTGAGCACACTTTTTTGCGAGGCAAGCGCGTCAGGGTGTGCTCTATCGGCCGCAGCCCGGACTTCTCCACGGTTACAACCGAGGGAGAGGTGAGTGAGGCGCAGTGGCTGCTAAAGCCGGTCAGGGACAGTGAGGTGGATCGGTGTGCTGGACGACAGTGTGTGCATACATCGGGGCTCCGCCCACTGTACCCATAGAGTCCAGTAGAGGGCGGAGCCTGTGAGAGATATAACGTTGGGTTACGTATTGTAACCCTTGTTATATAAACACAGGCGGAGCCCTCTACCTTGGGGGCACTGTCTGTCCTATACCGCTCGCTGAAGAGTGGTGTAGGATGGTGGTCAGGAGGCGAGGCCTCCTTTTATACGGAAGTGAGATGCGCACGCATTCAGGTAGGCCCGCCCCGGGGCCGGCTACGTCTATAGAAATCTCAGTAGGTGAATGCTTGCATGATAAGGTAGTACCCATAGAGTCCAGTAGAGGGCTCCGCCTGTGTTTATATAACAAGGGTTACAATACGTAACCCGACGTTTTTCCTCCTTGTGAGCGCTTTTTGTTAATTCCAGTACCTACTCTGTTAAAAGGAATTACCTGATCTTTGAAATAAAAGATACATTTTTGTTACATTCAAGACTTTGTCTCTGGGTCGTGCAGACCCAGCCGACCCAAAAGCGCTCCAGACTGCATTGTTTGCCCAAGGAAGTCTAATTCACCAGCATCAAGAGCAGCTAACTGCTATTGGGCACGGAGTAAGAGGTTTGTCGGACCGCCAGGAGGGTTTTCAGACCGCCGTAAAGGTCAATCTCTCCCCCTTCCAGTGCGCCTATGGATATCAATACCCGCTGTTCCCAGCCAACGAGGAGGAGGTCAGAGTCCCGTCTGCGCACGCCATGGTCCGACGTTGTCGGAAGGTCTGTCCCGGAGCTCGGCAGGCACTCCTTCGGACATCCGCTAGGATGAAGGCAGCGGCAAATCGTTCCCGCCGTGCGACTCCCGTCTACAGACCGGGTCAGCGTGTCTGGTTATCCACTAAAGACTTACCCCTACATGTTCATTCCAGGAAGTTGGCACCAAGGTTCGTGGGTCCTTTCCAAATTCAGAACATTATTAACCCTGTCGCGGTGCGTCTCCGACTCCCCAGGTCTCTCAAGGTCCACCCCACATTCCACGTCAGCAAAATCAAGCCTGTTCAGGAGAGCGCCCTGGTTCCCGCCTCCAAGGCCCCTCCACCACCTTGGATCATTGACGGGGGCCCGGTATACACGGTCAGGAAGCTACTAGCGGTCCGCAAACGGGGCCGAGGACATCAATACCTGGTCGAATGGGAGGGATACGGTCCTGAGGAGCGCTTATGGGTAGCTCCCGCACTTATCATTGATAAAACTCTGATCAGGGACTTCCACGATCGTCGTCCTGATCAGCCTTGGCCATCAGGAGTCGTCCCTAGAGGGGGGGGGTACTGTTGTGTCTCGTCAAATGTGTTAGTTATGTTTATGTATTTTGTCTGTCATTTCCTGTTTTATTTTGTACTTACCTCTTGTCTTTAATTTCAGGCCCTGTTTCTTCCTCCTCTTGTGTGTTTTTCCCGCCATCATCAGTGTCTGCCCCGCCCCTGATTGTTTCCACCTGTTCCCACTCACCTCATGTTTAAATAGTCTTGTCTCTCCCCTGTCCTGTGTCAGTTCGTCTTGTTTGTTTCCCCGAATGGTCGTGCCAAGCCTCAGCTAAGAAAGGATCGCTGTTACTCATGTCAGGTTTTGTAGTTTTGTTTATTTTGTAGGCTTAAGTTTCTTTCTTAAGTTCTCTTTTGTTATGCATAGTTTTTTCCTCCTTGTGAGCGCTTTTTGTTAATTCCAGTACCTACTCTGTTAAAAGGAATTACCTGATCTTTTAAATAAAAGATACATTTGTGTTAAATTCAAGACTTTGTCTCTGTGTCGTGCATTTGGGTCCATCAGTTTGTGTCGAGGTCCTGACATTGAATGCATAAATGAAAGTTCGAAGAAGGAAATAAAAGACATTCAAAGAACAGTGATAAAAAAGAAAAGCTAACAGGTTGAGTTTGTAATAAATTGTGTTTCTATTTTCAAGATGTGATATGATTGCCACATTAACATGTCTGTAAAAAATAAAATGTTGGGGTTTTTCTTGTTAATGAAAGAAATAAGGGGACAAGTGAAAATCTCAGTCATTTGTTTTGTTTAATTATAAAAACATCTCTAAATAATTTTTCTGAAACAAGATATTTGAATTTTTTTATAAATATTGTATTTATCTGTAGGATTAAGAAACAATTCAATAAATTCAGATTTTCAATAATTTTTTCAGAAAAACATGTGAAAACCTTTTAGCTAATGCAGCTCTTTTAGTAAACCCTGCACATGTTTTGTCAGGTTAGTGTAGATATCTCTTTATTTGCATGTGTTTAGCACATTGCTGTTAATATGTTTCATCGTTTTTGAAGCTGCAGCACGTTACTCCTAATGTAAGTGTTTGGGCCGTAGTTTGTACATTTTAAACTTAAACATCTAATTTAAAGTAATAAAAGGTCAAATACATTTTGTTCTTGTTCTTCAGAGAGTGATAAAAACTGCTGCAACACTTTTTAGACCGTAAAACCGGGATGACATTGAAACCAGAGCTGAAAAAGGTGTACTTGTACAAGATGAAAAAGGCATCTCTTGCTAAGATGTAGCAGGAAATACATAATGGAGTCTGCAGGCTGGTGAGCCGTTTCTACACCAGCAGCAGTTTGATGTCAGACCGGTCTGACCGGAACAGGAAGGAACTCCTGCGTCACGTTGTAAACGTTAAAGTCACACAGGGAACATAGAGAGCCGAAGTCCCTCCCTTTGCGGTGGACCACCATGGGAACTTATTTCGGGAAAAATATGTATTGTAGTCCATGGCGAGAGAGAAATAATTTTTTGATCCCGTTTGAATTGTGCCATGAATTACACATGAGATGTTTGTAAATTTAAAAAAATAATTTCCAAGTCAAGAAAGTCACAGTTTGTCATAAAATTGTTGATATATAAGACTATGAAAATATGCAACTAGAAAGACCACAAATCCAAGAGTCGCGTAAGTGATGTCATAACTCGTTTAACACTCACCGAAACCTTGTACAGCCGGTCCCGCATGCTGGCAACCGACTAACTCTCCTTTTGTGTAATAGCAGCTCTCAACATGATTTCCACCTCGTTTAATACTTTTCACCTCATTCTGAAAGAAAGAGGTGAAATGTGCCAAGGTGACAGCTATCTTGGTGTTGGTGACGTGTGTTGTGCGAGACCAGAGATGTAGTTCATTGAGCGTTTTTTTTTTCTTGACTTGCAAAATTATCTTTTAAATTGACAAACATCATATGTGTAATTGATGGCACAATTCAAATGGGATTGAAAAATTATTTCTCTCTCGCCATTGACTACAATACATATTTTTTCTGAAATAAGGTCCCATGGGTCGGAAATAGAAGGGCGGGACTTAGGCTCTCTATAAGGTCCCATGGGTCGGAAGTAGAAGGGCTATAAGGTCCCATGGATCAGAAGTAGAAGGGCGGGACTTCTCTATTGAGCTTCTGTTCTTCTGTGGGCTTGTTTTGAGTCTAATGTAAGAGTATAAAGCGAGGTGTGTGTGTCGATGAGATAACACAACAGAACCCAGGTATGAGTTTGAGATTGTGTCAGCAGAAAGACAGCAGGTGTGTGTGTGTGTGTGTGTGTGTGTGTGTGTGTGTGTGTGTGTGTGTGTGTGTGTGTGTGTGTGTGTGTGTGTGTGTGTGTGTGTGTGTGTGTGTGTGTGTGTGTGTGTGTGTGTGTGTGTGTGTGTTCTTGTTAATGTCAGGTGGGAGAGATAAGAAAGGGTGAGTTATTAGTATTAGTATTAATAATAATATTTTTGTGTGTGGTTTAGGGAGGGCGGCGCACTAGCGCCCTCTATTGGCCAGCCACCACTGTCTGTGTTCCTCCGATACTTTTATTTTCTTTGATGTATCCATAAGCCGCGTTCACACCGCAGTACTTTTCCCACTTTAGTTCCGATATAGTTCCGAAATGTCGCGTTCACACCAAAAAGAGCCGGAACTAAAATTAGTTAATCAGAACCTTTTTTACCCCCTTTTCCATCCCCGCTAGAGAGCAGGACTTTGGTGGGAGAAAAAGGTTGATTGGCAAAAAGTTTTGTGAAGCCGCCATTTTATTATCCTCGCATTAGCATTATTAGCATTAGCATTAGCCCAGCGCACAAACGCAGAGAGACTAACTTATTGCAACACAAAAGAAAACATGGAAGCGGTGGAGATGAGGAGGTGTCGGCGTTCTGGCGATTTACTCGGAAGGCTAGAAGCCAGTCCCCAACTTTGGGGACTTCCGGCTGGGGACTTTGGGTGGCAGTATACGCCGTGAAGTTGTTTGCGGCCTGCCAGTAAACCCAAAGCAGAAGAAGAAGAAGTGACGTCAGCGGCTCATTTGCCTAATCCTTCCCCAGGGACTTATTCCGGTGTGAACGCGATCTGTACTTAGTTCATGAGAACTAAAGAGTTCTCATGAACGAAGTTCTCATGAACCTTTATGGGTAAAGTACTGCGGTGTGAATGCGCCTATAGTTCGCTCATCGAGCCGGGGGTCAGGTTATTCACTCGCAAGAAAAGGCGCTGGTGCGGGACCGTAGCAGGATATGACGCTTATTTTAGTTTTTTATTTAATTTCTTTGTTATTTTTGTCTAAACTCAAGGGAGCCAGAGCAGAGGGTTTGTATCACATACAATGTGTTGGAGCGTTAGCCAATAGAAGTGCAAGTGTTACATAGTGATGGTCCTATTTTTTACGGCAGGGGGTGTGGGGGAGAGAAACTCCTTCTGGAACGAACTTTGGGATTTTAGCCTTTGCTGTTATCATTTACATGCAGAAACCCCTATATAGCACACAACAGGAAAGGGTAAACCAATACAAGCATAATAAGGTTTCTTTAATGATGCAAACTAAAAAATCCCTCCCCCCTTACAGTTATTATGAACAGGGAAACCTAAACAGAACAACCTCGGAACAAAACAGGCTGTAAACATTTTTATTTTTGCTGTAAAGTTGTGCATTTTGACATTGGGGCTTAGGGGATTGACGTGCTGTTGGAGCCAGCCTAAAGTGGCCATCACTGCAGTTTTTTGGCACCTCACTCTATAATAGTATACTTCACATTTTCATTTTACAGGAAAGAGGAAACATCATCTCTAATGCGATTAGCTCATGTCCGTTTTTTCCAGTGTATCAGCTGGTTAGAATCTCCCATTACCCCTTTTCCACCACGACAATTTCCGTGGCAGGGCTAGTGGGGCTAGCTCCAATGAACCCTTTTGCTTTTCCAGTGATTAGCCCCTCGTCATGACATCCTCGCTTACTTTGCTGCTCTTCCCAGCAACACAAGGGAAAATAACAAAATGCTGGACCTCGCTGAGGACAGCTCATTTTGTTCTTATACTTACAAGGCTAGATTCACTAGCAAGCACAAGTTTTCCAACAACTTTCTACTCTTCGTGGTACTTGCCATGAACTGCTGTTGGTCACGTACATTTTGCCCAAGACTCTGAGGTAAAGGTCCGATGTATACTGCTTTATGCTCTTGGTGCTGTCCAGGCAAATAGTTGGTACCCTAGTTCAACCAATTTACGCAGCCGAGAGCCAGCACCTCTGCAGTGGAAACACAACAAAATGGTTTGCAAACGGACATCGGCTCCGAACCATTCCTGGAACTGCCTCAGTGGAAAAGGGGTGACTTCCAATGTCAACAACACACCCACAATTAAGGCAGTGTTAAAAAGAGTTGAGCTAATGATACAGCCTGAAATCCTCCAAAGTGTTTTCCACCTGAACGATAACAACTCTTCCATTCATCAAGTTGTCACCACTGATCTTTCCTGTCCCGCTCAGCACTGCTCCTCCCCCAAAGATCCTGCAATGTCACTCAGGTCCAGAGAGTCCGCAGGTATGAGAGTTTTCCTGCTGCTTTTCAGAGACTGGCTGGGATAAACCTCCACGGATTTTGAGATAGATTGCAGGGAGCGTTCGCGGTAATATCCAAAAGCTTCCCGTGCGTTCTCTTCGCGGATGCTTTGCTCAAAGGTCTTGCGCTTGTGCCTGAACTCAATGACTGTCTTGGTGTAGGAGTTGAGGGTGGTGACTGATGCGCCCATGCAGCAGGTAAAGGACGCCCAGGCCATGCTGAAAAAAATATATATCGGTTAGTAATTCAGCACAAGTGGTGACTGGTGTTGGATTTTATGATTAAAAAAGGGGAACACCCATGTAGAGACAAAATTCAAAATTGCATTTGGATAATTTTTTTCTCAATATTTTTTGTTTGCGGAGATTAGTGTTAAGCACATTGAAGTCTTTTTCATTCTCCTCAAGCATGCTGGGCCACATGAGAGATCAGACAATCAAATCATTGCCTCATGTACTTCACGCGCGTTGGTTAATGCCAACAAAAGGTCAAGAATTGTTTCGCTTCTGCAAACGATTTTTCAGCATACTGTGCATATTGTGAAATATCATCTCCTTATGCAATTCCAATCAGGCTTGCATTGGAGCTTTGCACACCAAAGCCTAATCCTACCATAACATGAGAGCTTTGGGATTTTTTTCATTAGAAACAGTGATGCTAAGGAGAGGTGACAGCAGAGATACAACAAACTATTTGGGGCTGCTACGTGCAGAAGGGAATCCCTCATCTGGCCTCTTACCGGCTGATTCGAATCAACTTTATTTATAAAACAGAGCTTTATATGATATGATGGATAATGATGGTGTGAGTACAATCTTTGAGTTTGAGTGTGGAGTCATACCAAAAGGACCAGCCGTAGACCCAGTTGTAGGGTCTCCAGTCGGGGGGGCCGAGGCTGACAGTGACCTGGAACACCTGTGTGTACATCACATGAGCCACCATGCCCAGAAGACCTGAAACAATAAAGAAAAAATGTGGTTAGCTAGAAATACAAGTATACAAAAATAATTCTTCAGAAACAGGATGGTAAGCTTCAACAAGTTTTGAACTACAGTAAAACCTTCTCATGAAATATGCAAATATGTAAACAAGATAATGTAATGTCCATTGATAGCCTTACATTCTTGAATTCATGCCCTACTTTCTACACAATGCTTATCTTTTATCAAGTTTTGGCTAATGGAATGTCAAACTCTTGACTATAGTTCCAAAAAGCAATAAAAACAAGTACTGAAATCCTCTTTGTTCATTAGAAATAAAACCTGACTACCTGAGAGCACAGTGAAGACGGCAGCGAAGGCGTTGAGCTTGAGTCCATCGATGACGTTGCTGGAGTGGACCAGGTCTAAACACATCAGGCTGAAGCCCACCAGCAGCAGGACGATGTACAACATCTCAGAAACCAGCGACAGCCACAGCATCCCTGCAAAGGGGGGACACATTTGATTACGATAACATTTTAATCATTGTGTTATGTAATGTACAGTTTATTTACAGTATGTCACAATAAGTCCAAAGTCTTTCATGTGATGGAACCACATGTCTGAAGGTCCTTTGACTTTCTCAAGAATCAATCAACAGGTGTATTGCTGAGGATCAAAGGAAGACATTAAAACACAGAATACTCTAAAATGTTAAAGAACTGATTCACTCCATCTCATTCTTCAGAATTATTCTCTGTTTGATTGAGTTATTCTTTCCCAAAATGCTTTCCTATGGTGAACAGTTAGACAATGTTTATGTGTGGGGCTTTTATTGTGAAAGGTAAGAACAGTAGGAGTTGATTTGGCCTGTCAAGCTTGAAAGCAGTACTACAGTTGGTTGTGTTTGTCGGCTACAGAGCATCCTCGACTCATAAGCCTCTGTAACACTACTTAAGTTTACATTTCAATGTGACGTGACGCTAATTTCGCACACAGCATTGGTTGATGCCTTTATTCACATTGTGAATGCTTGAAAAATCTACTTTTTCCCAGACATTTCTTTTGCTCTTTCCCCTTGAAATATCTGCTTTAAACAGCAAGGAACAGCATGTTGAGTTCAGCTTACTCTCCATCCATGAACAGATCAGGAAGAGACCAGACATAGTGGAGATCTTTAGTAGACATTTGGAGACATATTTACTCAACATTTTCTTGACGGCCACGTTCATCTGGTGGACATTATTATTTACACACATTGAACTGAATTATTTTAGTATCTTCTGATTCAATCACTTGAAATACAGGATATGACATTTTCTCAGATGGCAAAGTTGAAAATCCTTATCCTTACTAAACTTAATTGTTATTAATGTTTGATAATACACCTTTACAAATTGGTCGAATTGATTAACAAATATACAGGTTACTTCTAGAGTTCCAGATTTTCCTTCAGGGAGTGTACTGTAATCATCTATATATAATTATCTGTAAGTTCTTTTTTACAAACATATAGAAGCCCATAAAGGATTTCATTGGTGTGAAAATGTAAACTTATTATTTTCACACATGTACAGTATGTTTTGTTTGAGTAAAATGCTAATTGAATAAAAATGCAATAATGCAATTTGGATACATTTTTTCGCAAGGTTTGTTCTCGGCCATGTGTAATTTGGAAAGTTCTATTCCACTGTACAATACTAATAAAATACTTATTCAAATTTGGAAACTAAAGTGCATTACATCACCATACATGTAACCGTATTTTCCATTTATACAAGCAATAGCTTATTTAAGTAAAACAATTGAATAGTATAACTGTTAAAAAATGACATTGGAATTTCACATTTAATTTACAAAACCCATACTTTCAAAATGTGCAATTAAAAAAGATGTACATTTAGAAAATTGGGCTATATTGCAATCACATTTTCAATTGTACATGATCATTTTAATAAAGTCACTCAAGAGACATATCTTTGGAAAGAAATGTATACGTTTCAACCAATCTTCTTCTTTGCCCATAGCCAGAGATGGGGACCTCAACATTTTAACAACACTTGGGATTGTTGGAGAACTTCTGATCATGGTTTATGATGATGAGCAGTGGACTCACCTTTCTCTGATGCAGGGGCCAAGTCGATGAAGCTTCTGCACATCTCACCTGAAGCAGAACAAATATATATTGTCGTGACCTCGCACAGCATGATAGCAGTAGCATCTCATATTGAATTCACTATGTGGCAGTTCAGATATTTGTGATTAACCTGTTTCTGGAAGTTCAGAGGGGGCATGTTCTGGATTAAACAAAATAAAGGCTCTTATTACTGAACTGATACAGGCCTCAGTCCTCTTAATCTGTCCAGGTGTGTATCTCTGGATCGGCTTAGACAAAGCATGAAACATAACGCCTGATGATCACACCGCTACAGCAAGGTCAGAGTTCATAAATTCAAAAATGAATGAACAGGATGTTGAATAAGAGACATAATATGTCTCTTATATGTCAACATCCTGTTCATTTGACATATTATGTCAGAAATGCAGCTGCTTTCGGGCACCTGATTCTGTGCCACCAGCTGGTGTGTTGGCAACCTTTACTCAACATCTGGATCTATCCTGTTGAATTAGGCCCATTTTGCATTGAGTTACAATGACAAAATAGCATCGATTACGATTACTATTTGGACACCATTTAAAAAATTAAACTAGATATAATGAAAGCCTTTTTCAAATTAACAAATAGAATGTAAAAAAAGACCCATTCCTGCAGATGTGACGTTTTCCCTCGTCATCTGTCGAGCGGGGCGCGTAGCTGGATTTGTTCTAAGTGGAACACTTTAATCAGGTAGAAAGATGGTGGCAACAGCTGTTTTGAGCAAAAACTCATCAAGGCTGCTGTTACATAATCCTTATTAACTCAAGCCGGTGCTCCCCCTCCCCTCCATCGTACAGCCACTTGATGAGATAGACATGTGCTAGGAATTCTTAAATTATCTCAATAGGTGCTTTATTTCTAGTCTTGAACAATATCAACATATGAATTGTTAGCACATTTTCTTATTGTATTGAAGATGAATGCTGGGATATATTTTACACAAGTTGCAGTGAACTAACCAGAGGAAGTAATCTGGCCTCATCTCATCTTTGACCTGAACTTTCACCCTGTTATGTTTGTTACCTTCAGTGACACGTCCTTGAGCCCTTAGTTAAATTACTTTACACCAACGTCACCATATTCCTTCAACAGTAGAGATAAGGCTTGTGAACACATCATTCACTGGTTATCCCCCCTTTGGATTAAGCTGCTAAGCAATCACATGCCGCCACGATCAAGTGTTCCATTTAAATCCTCGATCTGAGTACTGAAGAGTGAGAATCATCCTTTTCTCCTTTAAAAAAAGAAACTTAATTCTGAAACTCCTCTGTGCCTCTCTTAGCTCTGCATTTCATACCAAATAAACAGATAATCAGACTATACCAGATCCCTGCAATTAGATAAGTAGTCTGATATAAATGGAAGAAGCGATTATCCCGACATTGTTATGAAAGGGAATACGTAAAAGAGAGAGCTGAATTTAGAGCTGCATTATGACAAATAAGGGAGTTAAAATGACAAATGAAATGATGATTTCCACAAAAAAAAGAAGGTGAACATTTATTTATTTTGGTTTGTGTTTTAAAATGTGAATGAGGTTAAAGGTAGGGTAGGTAAATTTGAGAAACCGGCTCGATATCGCTAGAATTTGAAAATACACAACCGGAGAAAATCTGCCACTTCCTTATAGAGCCCCTCCTCCAACACACACGAACGCGCACATGACCAATGAGGGCACGAGATAAATTTGTGCACAGATGGAAGGCTGACAGGCAGGTAGGCCATCCAGTTATTTTAGCCGGGCCGGCTAAAATGATTGGTCGTGCTTTTTTACAGTATTACGGCTTCCACAGATTTATGGATTTTTTGTCAAAGCACTTAAGATATTCATTGCTATCGGGATGTTAAGAGCATTCCATGGAATATAACAACAAGTGTATCTCGAACCGGTTTCTCAAATTTACCTACCCTACCTTTAAGTAGGCTCAGACAATAATCTGATGATGACAAAAATAATCTACTCTGTCAGAATCAAAATAAAACATAGGGGAAAGGAGCAAGTGAAATGTGAGGGTGAGGTGCAATGTTTTAATACTTTTTTTTAGGTTAATATAACCTTTAGAAGGGTATTTAAGGACTTTCAAAGGGAAAAAAATAATGGTTTATGGTTAAATGTTTCTTATTCCCCACTTTCTTCATAAAAACGAGCCTTTTCCAGACCCGTGAAGTAGACACAATTATCCCTGCATTAACAGTCATTGAAACGCATACATTATTGCACTTAGGACATAGATATAAGTCTCTTAAACTTATTTTTTGTTTATCTAACTAATTCATCCCTCCCAATTATTCTACACACACACACACACACACACACACACACACACACACACACACACACACACACACACACACACACACACACACACACACACCTTCTACTCTTACTTTCATCGTGGATGTTCTCCTCGCAGGAGTACCAGATGCCGGTGTGGAAATGTCTGAAGAGGAAGCGGTCGTCCCCGGTCTCCCAGCTGTACACCACCTTGTTCGGGTCCGTCTCGTTCACTCCGTAGTCTATGCACTGGTGAGTCCGCAGTTTGCTGCACTTTGGCTTGGGGACTCTCTGGGTCCCCACGCACCAGTACGTCGTTATAAACGCGGTAATGGAGAAGAGAAGGGCGAAGAAGTTCAAGCTGATCGACAGGAGGCTCCTGCACCTGCGAGTCGTCTTCATTGTCCGTGAGAGGGATGGGGCGGCGCGCGGAGGTCCGAAAAGTTCATGGGTGCTGGGTGGAGTAGGTGCACGAGCCACGGCTAATTGTTTCCAAACACACCTGGTGGAGAAGTACAGGTCCCAATTGGCACTCTATAGTGAGCAAACAACTCCATGGATGCTGAGGAGACCGAAGGCATGCACACACTGAATCAGCTGTATGTCAAAGTGTCACACTCGAGGAAGTGTTTTCCTTTGGGTGGCCCGCGCGAGTCCAGCTCATAGGAATCCACGTTGTTAAAGGATTTGACGCTGCATTGCATCAAGTGGGATTTATGATGCAGATGCACTTTCTCTCCCCTCTCTGTCTCTCTGTCAATATGATGCATTTCCTCCCTTGTGGGTGACAGTCTATTCTCACAACTTCAGACTGCTATTATTCAATTCAATTCAATTCAATTCAAGTTTATTTATATAGCCCAAAATCACAAATCCTATTTGTCTCAGAGGGTCAAGTCAACAAACAAAATTGGCAATGTAAAACAATGTAAAAACAACAAACGTAATTTAAAAAGGAACATAACACCAGTGGCGACTGGTCATTAGGGGCAGGTGCGGCACAGCCCCACCTAGTGTCAGCAGAAAGTATTACAAATAATGATTACAAAAATGCAAAAAAAAAAATAAAAAAAAATATAAAATATATTTTAAGATCATGTTTAATCATCTGATTCGTCTGTACATTGCTGTTTTAGTCTGTGTTCTTCTAATTAGTGTGTCTACAGTCACAGTGTGTGCCTATTGAGCTGTTTAGAGCCATGTGGGACAAAACCTGATTATGCCCCTTCCTCTCGCTGTGAAGTCAACGGTGACTGTAAAAACTTCACTGCGCATGCTCAGAGTATTTTGTAATGAAATGTGTGTGGCAAAAAAATAATGACCAGAGGGGCATGGAGCTACCATCCCCACCATACGTCATCTCAAATCATTCAGAGCTGATTGGCTGTAAGTATGTGTGCCGCGAAAAGTGTGCTGTGTGAAGAGGAGACGAGAGAGCTGCAGTGGCGCGTCCTAAAACCAGGAAGTAAGCACAAAAAAGCAATGAGATTTCTCCAGAGGATTTTAGAAAATAGCTCGAAATAAGATCTGTGGGAAACGTACCTGTTAGATAAATGCACGTTTTGATTAGCCGGATAACATCCACATGTCTACCCTACTTATATAATTTTTTTATCATAAATCTATGGATTAGATTTATGATAGACTTTTGAAACTACAAGAACATAAGGAGGACTTTTACAAAAAAGTAATAGAAATGTTTGTCCAGAAGGATAGGCAAATGGACTTCATCTTCAAGTCAAGGTAAGACCGCCATTTTATTGAAAATGGGATCTTACTAAGAGAGAACAATTCAATATTTAAATGATAAAATGACATTTTTTGGGTATCCTTTTGTTGAACTGTCTGTTTAAAATTAATCGAAGCATCAGACAAAAAAAGCTTTTGAAAATAATATTATATTTTGGTTTAGGTCAAAATATAATATTTGTAAACCTGAAGAGTCAGTGCCAGTGCCTCACCAGCCATGAACCTCACTGCACGTCACTGCAGAAGCTTATATATAGACATCTAAGTTTTTTGTGCCCCACCACTTTTGTACATATAAAAACGCCACTGCATAACACAATGACACAAATACAGTTAGAGTACAATACAATTCCATAAAACGAAGGGTCCATGAGGATGTATAAACTGTACGCTGTACTAAAGAGGAAAGTCTTTAACCTACTCTTAAATGTGTGGACACTGTCTGCCTCCCTAATCGTCACTGGAAGTTGATTCCAGAGGAACGGGGCTTGGTAGCCAGAAGCTCTAGCACCTGATCTTTTTTTGTGGACTCTGGGAACCACCAACAGACCTGCACTCTGGGATCTTAATGCCCTAGAGGGGCAATAGGAGATTAAAAGATCCTGTAGGTAGGATGGTCCCTGACCATTGAGCGCTTTGTATGTGAGTAAAAGTATTTTAAAGTCAATCCTGGACTTAACTGGTAGCCAGTGCAATGCTGCTAAAACAGGAGTGATGTGGTCCATCTTCTTTGTTCCTGTTAAAACCCGTGCTGCAGCATTTTGTATGAATTGAAGGGTCTTTAATGATGAGTTTGGACAGCCTGATAATCTATTCACGACAAAAGCTACCACGTTATATTACTATATATTTATTTACTTATTACATATTACTATATGTATTTACTTATTATATTACCAGAGATGGAGGAAGTACTGCAATTATTAACTTAAGTAAAAGTATCAACTACAGTGTAAAGAAATACAAGTAAAAGTCCTCCATACAAAGTAAACTAAGTGTTAAGTAGAAGTACAAAAGCATCAGCATAACAATTTACTTAAAGTACCAAAAGTCAATATACTCATTACACAGAATGGCCCATTTTATATCCACATTTACTCACTAAATGTAGTGGTGAAAATGTAAAATAACGTATTCTAGTAAATACAAGTACTTGAATTTTTTACTAAAGTACAGTAGGCCTACTTGAGTAAATGTATACTGTAGTTATATTGCACCACTGCCACTACTGTTACGGCCACAGTCTGGATGACTGGCCAAACATAACAAAAAGATGGAGGAAGCCTGGGCCAGACACACCAGACCCAGAACTCCCCCAGAACTCCAAACTTGCATTTTGTTAACAAAACTATTTTATTGCATTACGTATAAAATAAGACATTCATAAATCATAAGGTCTCCCTTCATAAATAAATGATGAAATTAGTAATGTTGTTTACATATGTTCTTTCTTAAATGATCATTCCCGTATTCTAAATGATGATCTATTTTCACTTCACCTTTATTTTCTACCATGAAAATGAGCTAGACAGCTTTTTCCAATAACTCTTGAGAACCTCATGAAGATATTAACCATAATCCCAATATTGGAAATTCACCACAATCTTCTAAATGTTAGTGTTTTTCTTATCCTGATGACTAATCAAATACTACTGTATACTCCCATACCTAAAAAGGACGCCAAGAATTCCTGACTTTGGATCCCTAGCTGAACCGTCAAGCTCCGCTGGATCCTACATTTCCCATAATGCAACTCAATAGCAACATTAATTGCACCCTTCAAATGCACACCTCTTTTAAAGAGCCTGATGCATAGCTTACTTGGCTCCAGAAAAAACGAGATTCGAGAATACTGTGCAAATTTGAAAAAGCTACAAAGATTTTGAAAAAGACAAAACGTTTTTAAAACACAAATGACGTTTCATAACAATCGTAGTAATGTAGACTACAAGCTTCAACAAAACAAAATTCTGCCCCATTGCCGAGATGATGCTGTTTTCAGAAAAGCTGATCTGTACTTTGACAGGAAAGTCATTTATGCCGCATTTCCACTACAGCGCGGAGCACGGTTTAAGCGTGCCGTGCCGTGCCCGGCCCGTTTTTGGTTGCGTTTCCACTAGGCGTAGTTCCGGCTAGCGGGTACCTTTTCACAGTTTTCTGGCTCTCCAAAATCGAGGTTCTTTCCGGGCCAACAACCGGGCTGAGTATGCTAAACTAGTGAGAGAATCGCTGGCAACTACAACAAAATTAACATACTTTACCGTGATTTAATTGTAATACACGTTTCAAAATGATGCCGAAGTAACAACATACTGATACCAGTTAGTAAAAACCATGAATTAATGCTTTGACAAGTCTGCAGACAGACGGCAGGCGAAAAAATGTTTAAAATGCGTGTTTTCTGAATGGAGATTGGCTAAGCTAACGCAGTACAGTATATGCTCCGACCGTCCACACTCACAACAACGGCCTATACAGACATAAATAAACCAGCGCCATGACACAGACAGTCTGTGGTTTGTACTTGTTTAACTTTTGTCTAGTTTCTGAACAGATATGAGGAGCTGTGAGCTCTGAGGGCTAACAGCTAACGGCTGATGTTGGTTTTGTGTTTCGCATTGAAGATGACGTCACGGCCGAGCGAGGCCCTGCAGTGGAAAAGCGCCATTAGAGGATGATGAGCTGCTGCTGATGACGCTGATGTGGTTCTGATTAACTCTTCACACTGGGAAAATAAGTACTAATGACTCCACAAGACTTCAGCCAAAGCCTTCTGAAGGGCAACTGATGTTGGCATTTCAAAGATGTTTCCCATGAATGATGTGATTTTGCTGTTTGAGAATGAGCTAAAAATACCAGTCGTTTGAGCCTCCGTGCAAACACTGTTTACAACCCAAGAGTAAAGGAGGCCAGATATGCTTGACATCTCTGTTATACAGATTATGACTCTGGCAAATCAGGACACCAAAATGCCCCAAGTACTGCTGAACAAGCTGCTTCTATAAATGTGGGTAATTAACAACTTGCAAGGGGTTTCACGTAAAGGTGATCAAGGGATGACAGGGACATTAGCTGCTCTGATTATACAGGATTTAAACCTCCCACTTCAAATACCACTTGCTTTTATTACGAATGCTCATAGGAAAACCCATTTAATTTGATGAACTGCTTTGGTAAGAGTTGAAAAAGTTCCAGGAAAAGACCCACTTCCCGCTTCCCACTTCCAAAAGCTTGGTAACGTGTCCTGGAATCACCCAGTGGTTCCTGCCAACAGCTGCCAAAGAGTCTTATTGAGTATCAGCAGCATAGTGAGAGTCAGAATACTTGGCTATGCAGACGGTACACTGCTTATGACGTCCATGAGGGTGGTGATAATGTGTGGCAATAACAGGAAGCTAATCCCCGCTCTCAAATTAACACATTTTAAAGTCCTTTGCTTCGTTCACACATCCACTAAGAGAATAATTCACTATGTACCCACCAAATGAGGATAGATTGAATATGAATGTCTAGATCTTTTTGTCTGAATTTGAAGAATCAAGGATACATCTGACTTCTTGAAATCTTTGAATAACATCCTAAGAAACACAAAGAGATAATTCAATATAGACTCAAATGCAAAACAATTATTAATTTATGGTATTTGTGGACCT